TAATGCGATATAGTTACGTAGAATATACCCTCGCACCCCTCTTTTGCAAAAACCAACCGAGAGAATCAACACCGAAATTCGCGGTGTTCGTTTTGTTGCGAGAACGGAACCGCCCGGCGCGGTTTTCTCGACGCTGACGTTAATTACCTTCGCGTTGCGCGCGTACAGGCCGGCGTACGTGCGAGGGAACCTGAATTACGGGGTCTCTGAACGCGCGCAAAAAATGCGACGCGGTGCGTCGGAGTTGTGCGCGTTGTTGTGCGAGCGAGAGAAGAAAGAAAAAAAGATGCGCGCGCGAAGGGACGCGAAAGAGCCGAGTTGGTTATTTATAAGTTAAACCGAGAGAGGCGTGTACGCAAGCGTATAAGCGCTTCTAACTACACGCTTGCTCTCTTTCTTTCGTTTCGTTTGTTTTTTTCTCTCTCCTGGTTTCGCGAGCCAGATCGAGCGAGCCAGAGGAAACCATCTTCATACGATCATGACGTTACACGTGCGCGATGAATCCTCTCTTGCGCCGAGACAGATGACCTCTTCTTGTTCCGCGCGATTTCCATCTCCGAGAAACAACGGATTCGCGCGCGCGATTTTCCGACGACGCAGTGCAGACAAAAACCTGACGATGCCGGTTTTTCGCGTAGAGGAGACAGAAAGTGACATTCAAGATTAAATTATTTAAAACAAAAACAATATAGGAAAATATTAAAATTGCAATGTAAAAAACTATATTTCGCACATTTTTCGTACGTGGGTCCGGCGCTTTGGCCTTACATTATTTCTCTCGTGTAATTGATATATAATTGCTAAGGTTAACCCTGGAGGATGCGCTGTATATTTAAGGAGGAGTCTTATATGGTTTGTGTGCATAATAACTGTTCATCACCTAGAAATATTATATAGAACGCGCACACGCGAAAGTGTGCTTGAAATATTACAAGACGACTTGAAATCTCACCAGATCGTAAATCATCCCGTCCTTTTACCCTGTACCTACGCATTTGCGTGTCGACGAGATAATTCATCTTTCAAATATGCGGCGAACAGATTTTTTTTTGCCCTTTCTTAATGATAAACGCCCGAATTTAAGTCGTCATTAACGCCGAGCTTTGCGATCGCGTGGATATGGTTGTCGAGCACAATCGGTCTCGATACAAACTGTCGATGTTTGAAAAATTGTATTTTTAAAATGTTTCAAAATGCAACTTGTTAACGTAACGAACGAGTGTTATCAACGACCAACATCCATGTTTGACTCTTCGAATTTTTCATACTGTTACTTAAGAGAAATTGAATTGAAATATAATAATTAGCGAATTAAAAATATATTAAAAATCAAAATAAACTCGGAAGCCATGGCCAACCGCTGAACGTGGTTAATTAAATTAGGAATCAAATAAACACACGCAGTTAATATTATTGTTTCTACTACTTTTTGTGGAAAACATGGATAAATTGTGTTTCTCGATTTATTGTTGTTTAGATTGGCTGAAGATGATCAGAAAAAATGGTCAAAACGTTCGTAACGTATTAACTGAGTGTGTTTATCCAACTCCTAATTTTATTAAATTCACGTTCAACAAAAGATTACGGTTTCTGGATCTATTTTAATTTTTGTGAAACTTGTTTCAATTAAATTACAAAATTATCGTCAGCGCTGCTCGTTAACACGAACATAAAGTTGATCGGATATCTTACGTGTTCGGTCGAGCTTTTAGCTCGGACATCAAAAATAAAAATAAACGACGATTCCGAAGAAAACGCGCGGAGAAAGACGCGGAAGAAAGAGCACTATGAGCGCAATGATGAAGAGTCCGACCGGCGGTTCGTTTACCGTAGGTTGCTGCCTCGCCGTGCCGAGAGATAAAAATTCCGCGGACAGGTGAATCGAGCGTCCTGTCCACGTGGACGAATAATTCATGGATCTCGCGCACGTGAACTTCCGCGCTTTATTCCGTGGCTCGTTAATTCAGGATCCCTCCCTCCCGCGAGAACGAATGGATTTCTTCTCGTCCTTTTCCTCGGGGAGGAATCCGCGGAGGAACGAAGAAACCGGCGCGCACAAGGGAGCCCCCGGGACGAAAATTTTTCCCCGGGACATTTATGGCAAGTACCGACCATTGAAGTACGATCTATTGTACTCCGTTTCTGTACACGCGTGTTTAGTTCATATACCTGTTCATATACAAGCGCGGTTTGCCTCCGCGCGCAGAATCCTCTCCCGAGAGGATTATATTTTTGTGAAGCGACGTTTGCAGTGACATTTAAATGTTGAATAAAATGTACATGTACACACAGGAACAGCGTGTATCTCCGCGTGGGATATTTTACGGGAAAAGGATAAGATTCACAGACGATTCGTACGAGTCGCAGGCAAATTGCAGATGAACGCAAACGGCTCCCGAACCATTTGAGTTTCAAACTCGAAACGTCACGTTTTATCTCGTCGTATTTTACGTGATCGATGGGACTTAAAAACGTCAATATCTAAAAACTGTTTTCAAATTAAATTCAAGAGAGTAAAAGGAGTTTAGAAAATTTTTAAGTCTAGAGAGAAATAATTTATGGTTTTGTGAAGATCTAGAGCAAAGAAAAAATCGATTACCTCGCGATGTTCGGAAAATCCGCGGAAACTCCCGCAGATTCGACACTTCGATTTCTCGTCGCTACGTCCTCGAAATCCTTTTAAGGCACGGACGCGGACGATGATTAAGCGATCGCCCCGTCTAAATTCTCAAGGATTCCGCGGGATTTCTTGATTACACTCGAAATTCTCGTACGAGAAACAACGTCCGGAACGATGAGAAATTGCCGATATAATAGTCGCGGCCTTGAATTCGTCCGAACATCTTCGTCAATTTTTCCTTTCACGTTCCCGCCCGTAACGCGTTTTCATAGCTACTTAATTCTTATAATTTTTGTAGCATCCTGTCTCGCGCACGGAGTTCGTTGAACCGCGTCGGAGCAGTGACCGTCGTTGGCGCCAACTGTAATAAGTTAACGATAATCGACCAAAAAAAAAAAAAGAAAACGACATATATATCTCAACGAGTCCTGTCTGTAATTCGTAACTATACTTATATTAATTTGTACTGACGAACACCGAGAGCCGAAGCATTTGTTGTCCCAGTAATCAGTAATGAATTTTATTTACGCGCCAGCAACTGCGCGCTTTGGCTCCAATGCCAATTTGTTGATGTTTTACTTGTATTAAGATAAATCCAAAGAGAGAGAGAAAAAGACCAAGATCGGATCGAAACCTAATTAACCAAATAATTTTTTTACACACCACCACCTGAGACTCATATTGGCCCTTTTCTCTCTCTTTGGATTTATTTAAACATTTTGAAACTTTTTTATCTTCACTTGCATTAAGATAATATTTTCTATAATTCGAAACTCTTTTCTCGTATCTTTCGTCAAACTCGTATTATCACACAGATGTGCGCGCAGATGTCCTTTTTCATTGCCACTATATATTATTACAATAAGTAAGAAGTGTTAGACAACACACCGCCGCAATTCGTGTCACAACGTGTGTGACTCATATATCGCATCGCACGTACGCCACGCCGTTTTAGAAACTCGGAGCGATAATGTGTCTCAATTTTCAAGACGCACGTCAGCGCATTAAGTCATCGATGTTACGGCAAATAAAGTGAATTTTCTAATTAATTACATCAGCGACACGTGTTTTCATTCACCGGTGACAATTCGCGGCGACAACGCGCGAGACAACTTTGCGATAATGTGTAATTTTCTTTTGATCTCTTTATCAGAGATTCATTAGCGACGTTATAAATAAGCGAAACCAGTTCTCTCCGATCCGACGACGACGCGAGGGAAAACCGTATCGGCGCCGCGGCGCGGCGAGAAAAAACGCGCGCACGCGGGATCGCATGCGGGAGATGCATCCGGCGCGATCAAGGACGAGAAACAAAAGAATCGCGACGGTCTACATAACTCGATCCTGAATGTTGCAACGCCAGCTTTACTTTCCGTCGATGTACGTTCCGTCGTCGTCGTCGCCGCCGCTTCGTTTCGCTTTCGTATATCTGTTTTTCACAGGAGCTACATACCGCGGTCTCTCCCTTGCGCCGCGTCTTGTCAGAATGCGTTCTCAACTTATTTCAGTATCGATGTCGAGCGCCCCGCAAGTAACGAAACCTGCTTCGCGACAAACAGATAGTCACAGTTTTGCGTGGAAAGAATCGAAAGTATCGCGTTGCGAATAGTCTTCAATAGAAAATGTTGGTATTTTGCACGCGCGTATCTTAACAAAATGTTTTTCGCAATAAAGTTCGAAGTTACACTGAAAAACACGTACAAAAAGAAAACCAATAATAAATGCAATATCACCTTCAAATCCACCTTCCTCTATACTTGTTAATTTAATATTTTATATTAATTAGTAATTAATATTTTATTAATTTAATACATATATATATATATATATCTTATAAATTAATAATCTCAATTTAAATATTATCAGAATATTATCAAAAAAATCAATATTTGCAATGTTTCTAACGTACACAATATATTTACTTGCCATATAATATCGCCGTTAAAATATTGTGCGAATCTCTTATGGGGTATTACAGACGCAATATTTTCACGATATTTCTGCGATATATATTTGCAACACGAAGTGTAACAATTCTGCAACGTTTTGACAATATTTTGTGCGCGGTAGAAGAAGTGTTTCACGGTCTTTAATTGCGTCTATGCGGCGAGAAAAGCGAAGCTACCGACAAGCTCCAAGAGCTGATGAGACGCGAATTCCTGGACGGTATCGGTCTCTCGGCTTAATGTGTAACATCGACCATGTAACGATCGGGACACGGTTTGTGCCCCCTTCCACACCTGTACGCCACTATTCCTTCTCGCGTGCACACACACACACATACACACGCACGCCGGTGTGCTCTCCACGCACACCGGCAAGCCAATTGGAGAGCCAAGTCTTGGCCAAGTCTTTATAAGTAGGAGTCATCCGCGTCCTCAGGACTTACTCCCTCTCGAGAACGTGCCACGGATCGGCAACTGATTTTCAGAAAAGTTGTTGACACTCTGTCGGACGGTTGTTTCTCTATCACGTTTCAAAACGCTCAAAACAAAGTTTAACCAAACTCAAGTTCCGAAGGACCATCGGGAAGAAGAAAGAAGACCTCTCTCTCTTCCGAAAAACGGAAAAATTAATTCCGTGATGACGAACGTGAACGGCTAAAGGGCGACCGAAGGAATAATTCTTTGCCTTTGAAGTGCATTGAAATGTGAGTCCGTTTTTGCAATTTTTTCACAAATGTGATGAACAGAGAAATTTGTGCTATCGCGAGTCGTATTTTTTTTTTTTTTGTCAATTGATAAAAAATCATAGACTCGTGAGTTGTTTCTCGAAAATCTGACGCGGCGCAAGCCGGAGGCGAAGTTCGGCGAATGAAAGTACGTCCGTGAGAAAAGTGCGCGCGTTTATCTCGATCTCTTCGATTCTTTTTTTTTTTTTGTTTTAATTTAGCCAAGCGCTTTTTTTTTAATCTAAGGTCAAATCAATTGACTGTATTGCCAGTACGAAAGATACGACTCGGAGATATGTGCGTCTACATCGCGGAGTAGCGCGCGCGCGCGCGCACACACACACACACACACTTCATCTCACATCGCCGTGTTAAATGAGGCGCGAATCGATACCTATCTCCGAATATCTATAAGAAGCGCTATTATGATTCTATTAAACGAGCTGTTAACCCGTCGTTCGTTCGCCACCGGGCAAATTCGCGATCGCGCGAGATAATACAAATTGCAAAACGCAAACAACAATTATTATCGCAGCGAATCTCCCGCGATCACTTCACCCGAGCAAAATCGTCTAATATTGTTATCTGATAAAGACGTTTCAAACACAAATATTGTTTGTAAAAGTCTTTTTGTTGGTTCTTAATGTTCGTTTCTTTGCGATCCAAGTTTCTGTTTTGAAATTTACGCAAAAAAATAAAACGCGCGTGGTGCATCCATACGAATTACACAGGCGATCGATGTAACAATCGTTGCGAGTCATTACAGTCGATCGTTGTGTAACTGTTTCGTGTCGTGTAACTGGTCATAAGCGATTTACAATGCTCGCAACATGTTCGCAATGTGAACAACGACCGGTCGCCAAAATTTATTTCCCTTCCCGCTCTCGATCGCGAATTCACGTCACGATTTCAAACCGCGCTGTATTTGGATCGACATTCCGCGATTCGCATGCCTCGTCGGTTCGGACGACCGATCGATTCGTCGCGTTCGCGATCTTGGCATTGAAACCGATCGCTTCGGAGACGACAGCAATCTCATACGCGGGCGCATATAATGCATTATGCACGTCCGTGTAGTATTTCGTAATCTGTAAATGGCAACGGCCTTAACGAGACACGAGAGAGCCCCGAAATTAATTTTGGGCCTGATGCCGTCCGAAAGAAACGATTCGCACGTGCCGCGCGTAACGAGCGACCCGCGAGAATTCGATTTCTGACGCATCAACGTTCATGACGTAATCGTTTGCTCGATCATTGTTCTGTAAGATGCACAATGAAATTAATTAGCATACAACATAATTTATTAGATAAATGTTAAGCTTTCGTATTTTCTCACAAATATCATATGCAAACACACAGTGACATATATTTTTACATGAGGAGAGCCTTGAACCCTATCCGCGCGGCCTCATGTCAGTGACAGATTTGCGCGCGACGATGATGGATCTTCGAGACGCGTATATGATTACAGAGGCAAATGAAGGGATAATGAAAAAAGACATAGACGCGAAAAAGAAGAAGGGAAAGAGAAAAAGAGAGAAAAAAACTCGCGTATGCAATTTGCAAGTATCCCTTTAATTGCGACGAGTCACTACGAGGAAAGTTAGAATGATGCTACAAAGAACTCGATAATCATTGACAAGCGCGTCGTACGCGTTTTTTTTAACGCGAACTCCATGCACCATTAATTCTCGCGATGCTGCTTCGCCCGGCGTATGTATTCGCAATTCGCACCTGCGACAAGTAGCACCACGCTTCATGAAGAAAAAAAAATATACAGAAAATTGCGATTGCAATTTCAGTAAACTTTATGTCCAAAAGAAAGATGTAAATTGAATTTTGTTGCAAGCAAATTTGCTCTTTATATTTCCAAAATAATGTTATGTATTAAAAAATCTACATTTTTTATTTATTTTTGATTTTTTAAAAATAAAATTAATGCAATAAACAAGCAATAAATGTTCATAATTTTTCCACAAAGATAAATCTCGTTTCAGACGAGTGCGCAATCAAATGATAAATTAACCTGTAATTGTTTATTGACGAGACATAATATCGTCTCATGCAAACTTCTCTCCCGAGATTCTCGAAGTCGGAAATTGTTCGAAACAACTAAAATTCCCTTTTGCGCGCTACATGCGCACATTTCTGTGGAGTTCTACGACACTTATAAGTACACAATATCTCAAGGTAATAATTAGTATGCCGCAATAATCAATGCGGAGAATTATCGTCAGCTGTCTTGAGAAGAATTCGCCTTATTCCTGACGATTTTATCGCACAATGCAAGGTTACGCTGTGTTACGCTGAATAATGAAACATTCAGGTATATCTCTCTTTCTCTCTCTCTTTCTCTCTCTCTCTCTCTCTCTTCGCGGAGAGAGTTTACATTGCTTTTTATAATAACAATGTGCGTGTCGATTGATGAAAACGAGATTGCGAGTCCGAGATGACGAAGAAAAATGTGTGTGTGTGGGTGTATAAAACATACTTATCTGTAATTACTGTCCTTCCGCACAAATATATCTAAATATTATTTGAAACACGCGGATTTTTTTTTCCGGATAAGAGATAATTACACACACGATGTTTCTCGCGGAGTGCTTAGTGGGCAAACGGTGTAATTCAGACGGAGCAGGCATTTTTCTTCTAATGTAATTGCACAAATTGTTACGCGTGACTTCTCATTATTCCCACACGCGCGCATCCGCCGGGTACACGCCAGCGCGCGCGGGGAGGAAGGCAAAAGCCGAGAGATTGGCGGGAGAAGAAACGACCTTGCTACTTTGAACGGCAAGGCTACACTTATGCCGTACGCATGCTATCATAACAACTCAGGTTCATTGCACCGAATTGCATTGCCTGTGCACCGTCCGAGAGACGTTACCATTTTCTTCGTTGGGGTGTAACACGTTCTTGCGCCTTGATTTTAGTCTTCAACGTTAGAATATACGCGCCGCTCAAGATGCGGCCTTCAAGATTTACTTCGAAAAGCTCCTCGACGCGAAACACGTCTCAACGGTGTTTATTTAAAAAAAAAAAACAATTTTATTTTAAAAATAAAATTCGAAGGAAGAAATAAAATAAATGATAAAAGATCAAATTTAGTAAATTTATCAGAGAATTTATTTCGTAAATTTTTTCAAAAATTCTTTAAAAAATTTCTAACAAAGATATATCAAAATGTTTTTATTTTAAAAGACGAGTACACACACGCGCACATCATTTTCTCCAATCATAAAAAATAAGTAAATAAGTCAAATCAATCTGCGACCGCGCGAGAGACATAACGCGCGTTCAAGGATCGGGAAATGTATGTTTTTTTTTTCTCTCTGTGTTAATTTTGTCGTCATTACGGCGCCACCTGTGACATTTGGATAACTGTAAATTCTGATTTCCTGAAAGATATTCCGTGCGGTTAAGCATCATACTGTGTCGAGGTCTTTCCGATACGATAGCGTTTAACACGAGGTCAGTTTCGTTTCGTGCAGTTACTCCAAATTGCACACACACACACATACACGCGCGCGCAAACCGAACTTGTCTCGTTTTATCAAAGGAAAAACTGGTTTCTGGATGATCGCGAGAGTATCCACACACATTCCGCAATCCGACGATGCATTTTGAAAGTAATTACACCTCGGGCATCGTTTTTACCGTTTGCCTTTTTGTAATCGGCGACGTTGATCTTTTTCGGTAAATAATAATAATTTACTATTATTAACGATCTCAATCTCTTCTCGAGCTCGTCAACGTGCTCGTCCCGAATAATGACATTGATCAATGTACTTAGATTATCGGTGTAATCAGTTAACAAGAGACAGATAACTTTTTTCTTTTGCGTGCGCCTCGGTCTCCGCAAACACCGTTAAATTTTCAGCTTCGAAGAGGAAGAAAAAAAGAGCAAAAAATCGAGAAGAAGAAGAAGAAGAAGAAGAAGATAACAATAACTGTCGATAATTACAAGGTTAATGCGGACCGTTTTTCTGTATTTTTTTCTTTTTTTCCCCCAAGTCCTTTTCTGCAGCAAACGCGTATTCTCTCGATTGCACACTTTGTAAGAGATGTGCGGTTGGCGTTCCCATACACATGCTTTCCTTCACTCGTATGTAATGGATTTTAAACTGGGAAATAAACATGCGATGAAGAGTCGTCGTAATGCGCGACTTGATATGAAAATTTTCCGCGCGTTATAAAACTTTTTACGAGCGCAGATGCGGAAATAAATCAGAAATGCGAAATATATTCTTCTGTCTGACACACACAGCGTTTCTATATCGTAAATCTAGAAATGGAAATTAAATGTTAATTATCCGTAAAAATGATCCGCGCATTTATAAATAAATCTTGTCGCATCAGAGATTTTAGATAGAACTACCTGCGACTCTCATTAAACCGCTCCCGATCAAATCGAAGAGACAAGACGCACGAGATCGCATTAGATTTACATGTGAATCGAGCTAATGTTTCGACAATATAAATGTCAGCTGATTATTACGCGAGAAGCCAAGTCAGAGCAAAGAGCCAATTAAATCCCGGTTATATATGTGTGTTATGCGTGCGATCTCGAAATCAAGGCGTTCTCGCGAAACGTAATGCATGCGCAACGACGATTAAACGAACGATTTGTTTGTTACACGTATACATATTTGGAAAACTCGTCTTCTTAACGACGTGGAAAAAGAAAACCGGAGAGCTAGTTAATTTCATCGACGTCGATTTTTGCTCCGTCGAAGCGCGCTCGAGGGCGGGTTAATTGCACGACAAACTATATGTATGCGAGATACGCTGCCGTTGTCCTGGGCATCACGTTATCCTTGGAATGTGTTCGAGGTTGTTGCGGCTGTTGTTCCCCGCTCGCTCCGTTCTCCGAACTAGCAGCGGCAGGTGGTAGTAGACCTGTCTGTATCAGTTTATAAATAAGTCGTGCTACCCCCTTAACAGCCCGTCATTACTTGCGCGCATCTTCGAATCGCCTGGCATTTATATCCGCAGCTTAGGATATTCGTTTACACTTCGATGGCGCAAACTGAACGCGAAGGTCATTATTAACCCCCCAAGTCCTTGGACCCGCGCGACGACGCGCAAGTCTAACGAATTGCCTGCGATGTTTCGCGCTGCGCAATCTTGTGTAATGTAACTTGTTTTACGAGAAGTAATTGACGGAAAAAAACACAAATAAAAATGTTCGATGCAATAGAAATAAACTAAGCTATTAATAAATAATGTAATTTACAATCTTTGTGTGAATTAAACCTTTTTTTAGAGAAGAAAATTAATAAAATATAAAGTACACAGAGTTCAAAGGTACGTGAGCAGAAAAGCTATTTTCTCATTTAAATCGCAAAATGTTTTTTGCCAAATTTATATTCTTGATATCTATCGCATTTAAAAAAAAAGTTTATTTACAAATTAATAAATCATCATTTTTATTAATATTCTTTAACAGTCTCTCTTGTTTAATTTATATACTCACGTAAGATCTTAATGTTTTATATGAAAACGAATTGTGCGGTTCTTTTATGTAATTTTAAATGCGTGTGCGATCGAAAACACGTGGGATAATGGCGATTGACATTCAGGGAATGATCACCGCGTAAACAGAGCCTACACAATATTCGCGCCACGAAATGTTTCATTCAACACAGGAAATAGCTTCACCCAAGTTGTACCGTTTTATATAATGTGGGTTATCCGCACAACTTCGGGACGAAGTTAAATACGGTATCGCCGCGTCGCACAATAAAATCGTAAAAAGAGAACGTTTATAATACAATTTCTCCGCCTGCTACTTTTATATCTCTAAAACAATTATCTAGATTAAACACACAACTAAATTTAATACTATTTAAACAATACAAGACAAATGTATATAGTATAAATAAATTACTTCTGACTATATAAAATTATCCTTTAAAAAAATTTACAAAGCAACATCACTTGACGTGTTGAAATAATTTATCAAGGTTTATATTTTTATTGCAGATAAAATTGCAAATAAAAGATGTGGCAGGTTCCATCGACTTTTAGCGTTTTAATGATACTGATTGTAACAAGACTGACAGAAGCTGGTAAGAGAGAACTAATTAAGTTCTTAATGATGCTAAAATTATCGCTGATTTAAAAAAAATGTTGATATGTGATTTATATTAAATTACAGACTATTACAAATATGATCAAAGTCAGTATCGGGAGAGTGTTACTCCTTTCAAGTGTACAGAACAGGGTTATCATCCCGATCCACGTGACTGTAAGGTTTACTACAGATGTGTGGATTGGGGTAATAGCGGTCCGCTGACGACCTTCAAGTTTGAGTGCGGAGTAGGCACAGTATTTTCAAAAGACAAGGGAGATATCTGCACACATCCGGACGATAGCGGACGACCTGAATGTGCTGGATCCGAAAATGAACTCGACTCAAATTTGAACGAAAATCCAGAAAATCCTTCTCCAATATGGACAACAGAAAGAACAACTACACGACCTAAACCGGTCACGACGCAAGATTCCGAGCGATCTACAACCACATCTGGAATTATTACAACAACTAAAAAATCAGAAACACCGCAGTCATCAACTGCAGACCAATCGGACAATGCTATTAGCAATTGTAAAAATAAAGTCCAATGCTCACAAGAAGGATTTTTAGCCGACAGCTGTGATTGTAAAAAGTTTTATAGATGCGTAGACAATGGCTCCGGAAAATTCATAAAATATGATTTTACATGCGGCGTAGGAACAGTTTGGGATCCAAAGATTCAAGGATGCAATCACGCCTGGGCTGTTCTGAGAAAAGATTGTAGACAAAGCTTGGAAAGTGGAAATGATGTCGATACTGGCGGACAATGGAATGGAGATAATAATGGACAATGGAACGGAGATACAGGAGATAATGGTGGACAGTGGAATGGTGATAACAGTGGAGACGAATGGAATGGAGATATTGGCGGGCCGAACCAGCCAGGACAACCTGGAGATCCTAATGGTCAACCGGGACAACCAGGCTCTCCAGGTTATCCAGGAATATCGGGATCTCCAGGAAGTCCAGGAACACCAGGGTATCCAGGAACACCCGGATCTCAAGGAAGTCCAGGTACTCCAGGAAGTTCAAACTCTCCAGGTTATCCAGGAACATCGGGATCTCCAGGCAGTCCAGGAAGTCCGGGCACGCCGGAAAGTCCGGGCACTCCAGGTTATCCAGGCACTTCGGGAAGACCAGGCATGCCAGGAAGACCAGGCACACCGGGAAGTCCAGGAACACCGGGAAGCCCAGGAACATCGGGTAGTTCAGGCTCACCAGGTTATCCAGGAACACCGGGATCTCCAGGCAGTCCAGGCTCACCAGATTATCCAGGAATATCGGGATCTCCAGGAAGTCCAGGAACACCAGGGTATCCAGAAACACCGGGATCTCCAGGAAGCCCAGGCACATCGGGAATTCCAGACACACCAGGAAGCTCAAGTTCTTCTCCTGACATTTCAAACTCTTCTGACAATCAAACATTAACAGGTACTACAATATACTACAAAATTTTATCTAATGTATGCAAAATAAGCACAAAAAGAAATAAATAAAATTTGTTTTTAGGTTCTTGTAAAAAAGAAGGCTTCTTTGGTGATCCTAATGATTGTAGCAAGTTTTATAGATGCGTCGGTGATGGCACGTCTTTCACAAAATATGAATTTCAATGTGGAATTGGAACAGTGTGGGACTCATCTGTTCAGAGTTGCAATCATGCTTATGCAGTACCACAATGCAATCAACAAAGTAGTATAGTTACACCTACACCTGATACATCACTAAATGAAATAGAAAACACTCCAGGAAGTTCAAGCTTGCCGAGCTATCCGGGAACATCAGGTACACCGGGAAGTCCAGGTACACCAGGAAGTCCAGGCACGCCGGGAAGTCCAGGCACACCAGGTTATCCAGGCACTCCAGGAAGACCAGACACATCAGGAAGTCCAGGCACGCCAGGAAGTCCAGGCACACCAGGAAGTCCAGGCACGCCAGGAAGTCCAGGCACACCAGGTTATCCAGGCACTCCAGGAAGACCAGGCACATCAGGAAGTCCAGGCACACCAGGAAGTGCAGGCACGCCGGGAAGTCCAGGTACACCGGGAAGTCCGGGCACGCCAGGAAGTCCGGGCACGCCGGGAAGCTCAGGCACACCAGGTTATCCAGACACTCCGGGGAGACCAGGCACACCAGGAAGTCCGGGCACACCAGGAAGTCCAGGCACGCCGGGAAGTCCGGGCACGCCGGGAAGTCCGGGCACGCCGGGAAGTCCGGGCACGCCGGGAAGTCCGGGCACGCCGGGAAGACCGGGCACGCCGGGAAGACCAGGCACACCAGGAAGTCCAGGCACACCGGGAAGTTCAGGCACACCAGGAAGTCCAGGCACTCCGGGAAGACCAGGCACACCAGGAAGTGCAGGCACACCAGGTTATCCAGGCACTCCGGAAAGACCAGGCACACCAGGAAGTGCAGGTACACCGGGAAGTCCAGGCACGCCGGGAAGACCAGGCACATCAGGAAGTCCAGGCACACCAGGTTATCCAGGCACTCCGGGAAGACCAGGCACACCAGGAAGTGTAGGCACACCGGGAAGCTCAAGTTCTTCTCCTGACATTTCAGATTCTTCTGATAATCAACCATTAACAGGTATTATAGTTTTACCTCTTACATGCATATAATATTTAAACACTTATTAAAAATAAATATATATAAAATCTGTTTTTATAGGTGCTTGCAAAAAAGAAGGCTTTTTTGCTGATTCTAAGGATTGTCAAAAGTTCTACCGATGCGTTGGAGACGGAACGTCTTTTACAAAGTATGAATTTCAATGTGGCACTGGAACAGTTTGGGACTCATCTCTTCAAACTTGTAATCATGCGTATGCTGTATCTCAGTGTAATCAACAAAGCGGTGTAGTCACTACACCTGACACGTCACTAAATGAAATAGATAATACTAATATACCAGATACGAGTATATTGCCCCCAGTGCAATCTCCAGAAAGCTCTACTATTCTATCAACATCTTCCGAGTCTAATATAGATTCAACTCAAGGTAGCATTTCCATTACGCCATCTCAAACGTCAATTTCGTATCTGCCACCTACGACTAGTTCTCCATCAACAACACAAGTTACCGAATCTATTTCTTATTTACCTCCTACAACTCAAATGAGTACTTCCGTATCTTACTTACCACCTTCAAACAGTATTACAACAAGTAGCACATCACCTGGATCAACACCTGGATCTGTTTCATATTTGCCACCTGACGCTAGTGCAACTGAAAATGCGGAATCTACAAGTACTTTACCAAGTTCTTCATCTCAAGGCGGAAAATTTGAATGTAATAAAGAAGGTTTCTTTCCAAATCCCGATGATTGCAAAAAATTCTATCGCTGTATACAAAGTCAATCCGGTTATCAGAAATACGACTTCCAGTGTGGTCCCGGTACAGCATGGGATCAAAGTATACAAACGTGTAATCATATTGAACAAGTAGCCTCATGTTCTACGACTAACAACGAAATTGATCAAAGTTCCAAACCTATCACCTCTAATTCTCCATCTGAATCTACTGCTACGAGTAGCACTTCAGTTATTGAATCTAGTCAAACCACTGCGACTACATCAGTTTCAATCACTACAGAAAGTACTACAATTGCTAGTACTACAGATGAAACATCTAAAAAACCATCTACACCAGAAACAAATAAAACGGAAATTTCGTCAACTGTAACGACGTCTGCTACTAGTAGTAGTGAAACATCTGTTCCAGAAAAACCAGAAGAAATTCAAACGCCAGAAAGCTCCAGCATGGAAAGTTCATCCGAATCTTCATCCGAATCTTCATCTTCGTCTACGTCTGAATCAAGCGAAGAAACATCTTCGTCTACCGAATTGCACATGCCGGATTGTACAACACGAAAGCCTAACAATACGATAGTGTGCAACCAACAAGGATTTTATCCACATCCAACTCGATGTGATAAGTTCTACCGATGCGTCGATAATGGCAACGGTTTTAACGTGTATCACTTTGACTGTGCACCAGGCACTATTTTTGATCCTAGCATCAGCGTATGTAATTATCCTGAATCCGTATATCCTGCAAGAGATTGTACATCTGGAGATGCCGCGTCTACAACTCCAAGCAGTGCTTCGGCGGAACCCACAGCTCAATCTACATCAACAGAGGCAACTACTGCGCAAAGCGAAACTCAACAAACGGAAGAAAGCACAACTACAGAATCTGAAACGACGGAAGAAAGCACTACCGCTTCTAGCACAGAATTAACAACGTCCGAAATATCAGAGGTTACAGAAAGCACTGAGTCTACGAGCGAATTAACTACTGCCGTAACAGAAACTGCTACTGGCACTATTGAAGAGACTACCGAAACTACAACAGAATCGATGGTATCTGAAACATCTACTACTGAGTCTCAAGAACAATCCACGACGGAATCTCAGGAGCAAGAATCATCGAGCGCGGAAACTCAATCGACAACAGAGTCTCAAGAACAATCGACAACAGAGCTTCAGGAACAATCCACTACACAGTCTCAAGAGCAATCGACAACAGAGTCACAAGAGCAATCCACAACAGAGTCTCAAGAACAATCGACAACAGAGCTTCAGGAACAATCCACTACACAGTCTCAAGAGCAATCGACAACAGAGTCACAAGAGCAATCCACAACAGAGTCTCAAGAACAATCGACAACAGAGCTTCAGGAACAATCCACTACACAGTCTCAAGAGCAATCGACAACAGAGTCACAAGAGCAATCCACAACAGAGTCTCAAGAACAATCAACCACTGAATCAGAATCAACGACGACGGAACCAGGAGCCGCAACACCTTGCGCTATAGGTAATCTAACTGACGATCAAATAGCCTTAGTTTGTCCTACCGGATTCAGAAGACATCCAAAATATTGCAATCTTTTCTACCAATGTACATCCGAGGGAAACATGGAAATTAAGATACTCGTATTAACCTGTCCCGAGAACACTATCTTCGACGAGCAAAAAATTCAATGTCTACCCGAAGACAGAAGCAGTCAGCCGTGCACAGGCGCCAGAGCTAGTGCCAGATTTTACAGAAGACTAGAAGATAACGACATATCTCCCGTAAGTATACTTCTAATCAATTCAACAGAAACTTATTAACAAAAATAATAACATAAGTAAACTAACAATTCTCAACTCTCTTGATTATAGATGAAGGTGTCATCGAATGTGCTTTGTCCGTCGGAAGGACATTTTCCTCATCGGCAAGGTTGCAGTAGCACTTTTTACAAATGTAAACGCGACGTTCAAAATACTTTACAAGGATATCTCTACAAATGTCCCGAGGACTTTGTTTACTGGTCGGTATCGAGAAGATGCGAACGTGCAACGCGTCTTCCCATGTGTTCGCACTTGGCGTACAGAAACAAAATCAACTGGAACGACCAATGGCAAATACCAATAGAGAACTTCAATCTTTCCGCCAGAATGTTGCGTTACTTTTAAATCGATAACACTGCCTCTTTTGTCTTCAGATTCACTTATTAAGTATAATTCATAAGTTTGCCATAGATATTTATATAGAAACCATAAATCCTCAGGTTAGTTACTTAAAATTACAAAACAATGTAATTGATGGAAATAATTGAGTATCTTGTAAGAAATTTTAACAAGACTGCTTTTAGTGCGAACTAGCGTTGAATTGTTGCGCTAGATATACGCGAATAAATGTCTAAATATTTGATCGATATTATCACTTTCACACTGTTCATGAAATTTCCATGAATGTAAATTTTTCTGACAAAGTGGAAAAAAGCTTTTTTGTTTTGATCTTATACCGATACAGAGATTTATTTCCATTGGTGCAATATATGTTACGATTTTTATCATTTTTATGATTTTTACTTTTTTACAACATGGCTGTTGAAGATCATTCTCTATATCAAATATTTTAACACTGGATCTTCGACAGCCATCTTGAAGTAGTGAATATTTAAATAATTAAATGATCATAGAAACTTTCAATTCACAGTAATCATATATGATAGCAAGTGAATAATTAATTCAAAACAAATTTGACTATTTGACGCAGCAAGTCGACTGGAAGACATAGTTGATCGAAACTATGCTTTTTTTTATTAACTAGAATAAGATGTTATTTATTTTGCAAATATTTTGTGTATACTTTTCGAAAAGTTTTACTCATTATCATATCATTTAAATATATAAAACAAAATCATTTACCAAGATAAAACAAAAAGTAGAGAAAAAGCATTATAGTAAAAAAATAAATAAATAGATTCTGTCGGATTATCAAAACTTTGTTATTTGCCACACATGTACGTCACTATGTGATATTTCTACACTGAGGATGGTTGCAAGACTTGTATGCAATATTTTGTGTATGTAAAATTAATGTATTTCTATTCATATATTACACTACCAAAAAAAATGTTTGATTTTTTTGCTGTTTGTGTGTGAGATGTTTATGAAAAAAGATATAATAATTAGAATCTTCTCCGATATTTATCCTATCTTATTCAAGTTTCTAAATTCTGTGTATATAGGGTAACTTCGGTATATAAGTCGCACCTATCGAAAACTTAATTTATCAAATAGTATTTATAATGTTAAAGACAAATTAACTATATCAATAAAAACTCTATACTGTCATTTACTATAAAAAAAATTACAAATACAAAATCTTAATCTTTATTCCTTATACCTTAAAACAAATCTTAAAAAAAATCTATACTGGCACGCGCGTGCGATGGTTTAAATATGGCGATACATCCCACCACTCGTTTTTTAGTTCACTACTTCCGGTAACCCTAGCCCAGGCGGCGTTGAAAACAGCGTTCCCCTTCTCACAAGAGGCAAGTTTGAACTCCCTGGACGTATGTACGCACTCGGCGCGTCGAATACCTTTGTACGCAAATGCAAGATTCGACGAGATAAGATTATTACAGCGGATATTTGGCGCTAAAAATGCGCAATAATTTATCTGTTACACAGAAACGTGAAGCTTGTGAGTTTGAAATAAATTTTTCTCTCCTCACATTTCCATACAAAATAGAAATACACAGAAACTCATTAATTAATGTAATCCATATTTCAATATTATGGAACTAAATATAATATATTTAAAGTTTCAATAAAGGGGTTTTAGTTTGTAAGGTTGGTCAAAATCGCAATAACAAAAGTTGTTTTTTTTACCGTTTATTATACTCATGTGTTTATTATACTCATGTATTGTTTTTACACAAGAGAAAACAGTAACGCTCCGACCGAAACAAATACCACATCAAAATACAATACTTCCAAGCTTTCGCTTGGTTCATCAGTTTTCTCCTATTTTCTCGTTGACATTTCCGACGTACGCGCTGTCACTGGTTTTGTTTTAAACTTTTTCTTACTTTCTGAAAAATAATATTTAATCAATTTGACATATACAAAACGAGAGAAAAAAACATTAAATGCGCGTGAAATATACTTACAAAAAATAGTAAAGACCGTAGATGCGTATGTGACGATTAAAATCGCTAATGGCAAGATAAACATGAAGAACAAGCTGAAACTGCCGTAAAGTTGTTCTTGCCAAGCTTCTACGTGGGTCATTGCGTAAATACTTCGATGAATGGTCTTTGCAATATAAAACACAGCGACCTGTTAAAATGTAAAATGCATCGTCAGTGTTCAAACAAAAAAACAAAAAAACTTGCAGAATGCAAAATTTATATGTTGTTACCTGGGGCGCGGTAAATTATAAATTAAATTAAAACATAAAGAGCGAAATAAAACTCTGATGGAAAAATTTACTTTATACAGACGATAAATATCGAATGCTGCGTCGAATGCTTTTATTCCGAGTATTGCGTATGTACATATGTATGTACGAGTAGTATCTTCACCAAATCTTCCCGTCACAAGGTAACGCAAATGTGTCTCAAAGAAATCCGAAACATTTAAAAGACATCTGGAACAATATTCAGATACATATACTTCACATTTAGCGCGAAATATATTTTTCCGATTAGAATTCATTATTTTTCAATATTAAAGATAACACATGACGCTATCTCAATCCGAGAGAACAGCTATATTTAGAAGGAAAGGTGTATGAGAGATATGGATTCTCCAATTTTTCAGACGTCACTCAGGTGTCTTTTAAATAGAAGTTGAAAAGATACTTTACGAATGATAGATGGTGATCGAAAAAGTTGGGTGGCATGTGGATAATGGAACGAGAAAAAGTGCAAAGCAACATTACCATCTCTCTGTAACAAAATTTGAGAAATAAAGCCGCAGGAAACTCGCACAGTGTGATATTGCGTATAGGCGTTGCAAGTACATCGAAAGACATCCGCAAAATTTCAAGCAACATTGTCCTTCCAAACTTTTCCGTTATTTATTTGCACTTTGCGATTGCAAAGATATATATGTGTATGTATATATATATACGTATATATATATATATATGTACATGAAGCATCGTTGTAAATACAACCCTCTCTCTTTCGCGTTGTTTTCTGCGTTTCTGATTCTCGTTCTCTTTTCTTGTTGCCTTCTCTGGCAAAAAAAACTCCAAATGAACATTACCTGACATCTTATATCAATATAAGTTATCGTTTTGATGAATACGCGATCTTTTATTCGCTGAATAATATATAATCGCCTTGCCGACTGCTATTTCGATTCATGTTGACGCACACCTCTCCACGATGAGTCGCACGCTTTGTCTTAATTTGTGATCGCAATTTTTTTTGGCGTGCACACGTAGTATATATGTCGCTTACATACAAAGGCAATATGTAGGAAGACGCTACTGAACGATCGTTGATACGATTGTTTGCCAGTTTACTAACGTTACATGATCAGCCACGATATTTCGTTATCCACTGAACATTTTGTCGCGTACACGTTACCGTAGCATAATTCCGTATCGTCACAAACGCAAATTGCTCCCGATCAATTTTGTTGTGGCACTTTGACAGAACGTTATTAATGAGTGCTAACCGCATCAAACATTGTTTGTTCAGTAACCGAGCGGCTCTATCGATCCTTCAGTCGAGTATCAAGCACTATCGAGGTTTTCGTCGATATATATACATATTTTTCGATTAGTAAATATAACACAAACACCTTTAGAATCTACATTCAGTAAAACCAAAAATTCGCTTTTACAATCTTGTTTTGTTGCAAATTTAGGAAATGTTTTCGTGAAATGAATATTTATGAAATAACGTATTACTTTCTTCTTTTTTCTTTTTCTCTCGTAAACTTATGCTATTTAATACCGATGTAACTTTCTACTCCGATGAAAAATGTTGAAAACATTCGACGCGCAAATTACGTTGCTGCTTCGAGATTAACGTAAAAGAAATTAATGTGAACAAAAAACAATGTATTTTTTATTCATTGTATAGTATAAACAGAACGACAATCATATATAGTGTGATAGCGCAAGCGTATCCGATATTGCCGTCATTATTTCAGCAACAATGTCGTCAGAAATAAGAAGAATTCATCTATAAATTAATTGACTTATATTGTTACTTTAACTTTCTCTCCTTCTTTCTCTTTCTCTCTCTTTCTTCTTATATTGATTCTAATAATTTACTATATAGATAATCTTTCATTTTTGTACATTTTTACAAAGTATATATAAATGTTTATATTTAATAAATATATTTATAACACATATACAAAAATTAATAACAGAATTGTTAAACAAAGTAATTAAAAATGAAAAAAGTAATAGAAACTTTTTTGTTTTTATAATTGCTAAAACAAATTATTTTAAGCGATAAAGCAATCTGTTTTTGTATATTTGCGTACACTTGAAAATCAATATAAAGCGATAAAGTCTCATCATTTCTGACGAAGAGAAGGCTATTGTCGCCGTTTATCACAATCTGTCTAATGCATTATTATAATTATTCTAGAACTATATCATATTTCTAAGTAACGAGAGTGTCTCGTAAGTAGAAATAAAACAAATATAATGGATTCGTATTCGGTATTTGTAAATAGAACTTCTTTATGAATAAAAAGAAACATTTTTCTCAATTCCTAATAATTTGTGAATATCAGATCAGTCGTTGTAAATTAAGTAACACTATCTGTTATTACGTGTGTATAATATTATAATATGGATGTGTGTGTGTGTATGTATGTATGTACACGTGTGTGTGTTACACTACTATAAGTACGTAAAATTTTAGAAACTTTACGATCACTATAAGACGCAGAATTGAATGGTAAGGCTAGTACATACTTCCGAATTGTTTCTGTGTTTCTTTTTATAAACACAGTTAATGTAAAATCATTTTGTGAAGGAAATCATTCTCTTGTTCAAGATTACGTTTGTGATATGAGTTTAAATCGCGATATCATTTACGACTCTTTTTCATCGTGCTTATTATATACGTGCTTATTATATGTATTTACTTATCGTTGTTTAATATAATTTATTACGTTTATATTTCACATCAAACAATTGCGTATTTTTGTTGCAAAAATATCCTTTGAATGTTATTTTATTATTTAGACTCTAATATGTTAGAGTGAGAAACGACCTTTCTATTCAATTCTGTTGCCTGTGTGTGTGTTGGATATTTTATACTTATGTACTTCGTATTAAAAAGAAAACTTCGTATGAGAAAAGTTGCGTAAGCAAATCTTTTATATAAGGCGGCGAGAATTTTTTTACACTTGGAAAATTCTCCAAGTACTTTTAACTTTCAACCAAGTTAAAAAGCGTTAGAGATCTAGCACAAGTCGAGCTGTTGTTGTTCTCTTTTTATTCAAACGTGGGAATGTTGTTTTTTTTTGTTTTATTTTTTGTTTTATTTTATACACAATCGCGCGAGAATATTGTCGCGCGCGAAATATAGAATAACGTAAGTGTATTTGTTTCACGCGTATTTTTTTGTTTTTCAGTTTATAATGTACACTTAGCCTTATATCGTTATACGTACGTATTTTGGAGACCAGCCAAGATTGAAAACTTTTTATACACAGCTATATTTCATAACAAGTAATGCTTGGAAGAGAATATGATTGCTAAGCACTATCGCGCGCGCTTATACGTAATACTGTACAATTACATATCGGAGCAAACGTCACTCGCACTTTTTTCGATTTTTAATTTATTTACGAGAAAAATCGCAAGTAACGTTGCGCCGTTTGTTCGTTTGATTCGTTCGACATGCTTATGAGAGAGGGAAGCGTTTTTTGCGAAAATATTCTACGTAGGATCGTAATGACAGTAATTAACGTTAACCTTGAGTAAGGTTCCAGTTAACTTTAACTAATGTTTACGGAAATGAGCCGTATTCGTTAAGAGCGCTTATGATAATAACATCACGTAGCTCACGATTACTTTGAACAGCTGTAAAGGGAAGAAACAATGTTGTGAATACTGTCTGTCTAGATGCTGATAGAATCGACTCAGGTAGATATTGACGTTAGTTTGTAAATATAAAAATTGCACACATACTAAAGTTCACATATAAAAAATACATAGTATACACATATTAAAATAATAAACTAAAATGTTGAAAAGGAGATAAAAGAATTGAAAATAAATTCCGAGGATTTTTTCCAGGCTCGTCCACGAGAAAAATTAATAGAAAAAAATAAACAAAATATTAGCCGTCGATTTCAATATCGCATCGAGATACACTAGTGACTACACGTATTCACTCTCAATATCCGGCAGATCTGAAGATCCGGATATTATACGAAACACCGGAGAAAAAAACCGGCGATGTAATAATGAAAACGTGTTGCGCACGCGTATCTATCTACGTGTATGTACAAAGTTTCGTATTTCTTCGTCGTGTTTGATCCGCGCGCGCACGAAACAAAAAGAAAAAATTAAATCCACTGTCAGCGAAGTCTCCGCGTACCACCGCACAGCATCCTTTTGAATGCCTGCCGGAATTCCGGCGAGAACACAGTGTAAATCACGGGGTTGAGAGTACTATTAAAATATCCGAGCCACAGGAACACACTGGAGAGAAGCTCGGGCGGTTTGCAAGTGTTGCACGTGGCTTGCAGCAGCGCGGTCAGGAAGAACGGCAACCAGCAAGCGACGAAAGCACCGGTGATGATCGCCAGAGTCTTGGCCGCTTTTCGTTCGCGCTTCGACTCGATCGTTTCGCGCGACCGCTTCGTGCATTTGACCACCTGCTGCTGCTGACTCGAACTAGTCGGATTTGTCACCGTTGTCGTGGTGGTCGTCGTTGAGACCGCGGTCGGTGTCACCGTTGTCGACGGCGTGACATTCGCGCCGTTATACGAAGACGACTTTTCCGGCGAAATGGACGAGTGATCTGGCGTGGATCTCGTGATGGTGAACGCCGTTGACTCCTCGCGTGGCCTACAACCAGATAAATCATCAGAATTACGCTGCTCACAAACAAGACAAAAAGATGGAAAGGAAAGTATTTCCATTCTCGTCTTCGGCTCGTGATCGCGAAGATAATAGCGACAGCTGAAACGTGGCAACCTTAATGATGTTGAGAATCTTTATAAAAGGGTTGTCAAAAAGAAGCTCACTGTTATATAAGAAGATTGATACGCGTATATACATGTATATGTATAGTTACATATATATTCATTTTCTGCTAAATAGTAGAAAAGATGATATTTCTAATAGTGGAAATAGAAGTAAGAATACAAAACAATGAAAAATTTTTGTAGTTACAAATTAAATAATACATATAATAATTATTACATGATTGTGTAATTAGTTTTTATAAAAAGTAATATTAATAGCAAATATAGTTATATAGTAAAATAAAATATAAATAGTTATAACGATTGCAATTAAGAATAATTTATATGCTTATAGATTATAATAATCAAAATAGAATCTGATTCAAAGGCTATAGAGCTCAAAGATATGCAACAGCGACAAGTCTTTTTGCGATACAGCAATCAACAGGTACATGAACTCGTGTTCACGCAGCAAATATCTGCATTGGTCATTGAGATAAAAACTCTTAGAACAATGATATGCCAAGACTGGATTGCCAAGTATTTTATCTTACTTGAGATAAAATACTTGCATGTTAAGAAAATATTAATTTTTACAGATTGAATTATGATTTTCGGAAGAGAAAAATATTTAGTAATTGCTCTTGGAAAAGCGAGCTAAATGTCATAACGAATACACGCCATTTTTCAACAGTCCATTCGCGAGATCCGCTCCAAGTGGCACAACACGTTGTTATTGAGCTTTTCAATTTTATCGCCAATTATGAAAGGTCGTGCGTTCGATCATATTGTTTCCGAGACTTAAAAATAATGGAATTCTGGTCTCGTATAATATAAAGAATCAAAATAGAAAATGTACTTTTTTACAACCTTCTTGTGACGAGCCTGAGGATGCCTCTTCGTTCGCGTGGCGGCTGAAGAATGGTGCCTGGTCTCTTTCTGATCCTTTTTCGCGCCGCTTGAAATATTCTCCAATACAGTACTAGGATAATCAGGAGAGGAACATAGAACGTCGCGCAAGTTGCGAAGATCTGTAACGTAATTTTTTTTTTTTAATTTGATTTTTATTAATCTATATTTAACTCCGCTAAAAATTAAAAGATGTTGTTTTCTTTCTTTTTTTTTAAAGTAACAGTATTGTATTTATTACGTGTTGAGAGAAAAAGAAAATTAATAATTTTCATCTCTTCACAAAGATATTTTTATTGCGTGTCTGAAGGACGAAAATCGGACAGGGATATGATATCAGTTTAGAGGGTCGAGATTTAACATGGCGTTTCTCGGAGCACTCAACACTTTTCTGATAAATTTTGTCGTGTTTCACGCGAACGCAATTCTCCAATTGTTCATACAACCAACCAAGCATTTCCGTTCGCAATTTCCCGAAAGCGCTCACCTGATATGCGGAATCCTGAGACACGAGACACGTCCCTTTGGCTATGCGAGCCAAATAATCAGGATCCTTCCATCCGAGCTGAGGCGCTAATGAGATTCCTAAGGACACCAGCCACACAAGAGAGATCAGGATACCGATTCTTCTCGGATTCCTCGCCTTAAATTAGAAGAACCATTTTTTAAACGACACACATTGCCATCTTTTATCATTTTGAAAAATAACTAACATTTACGTTTTTTTCCTCTGCATTTCTCGCAAGTAACTATTATTAGATGATCGTTTAAATATTTATAGAACACACAAAGTTTTTTTTATCTTATTTTATACGCGCGCGTGTATTTCTGCGTGCAACGCGTAGATATTATGTCATTAAATAAATTCTTGTCGGTACTTCTGTACGTATCTCGAACACGAGGAAAGATCAAATAAGTTATGTAAGCGAACTAGCGTTGTCATCAGACAGCTGAGGCACTTTACTTGTCTCGATAAATTTTATACCTCCCGCAAGAGGTCTCCGCGCATTACTAAGACGCTGTCTGTATCAGAAAATTAAACTTTTAATTAGATCCGCTCGTAAACCTAGTTCTTTTTTTTTTGAGGGAGAGGAAAAGAAAAGAAGAGAGAGAGAGAGACAGAGAGAGAGAAAAAAATACAGAGGGAGCACGTTAGCTCGCTCGTTCGAGAAAATTGCGGCGCCTGCTCTATCTGCGTATCTCTTTAGTGGAAAGCTGCCACATGACTCAAGCTAATTTCTCCGTTGCTCCATTATTTATGACGTAATCGACCAGCTAAGGAAGCAAAACACATATCTTTCTATCAGTTTGGAAACGCAAGTTAGCCGTTAAGTTCGACCATCCTTCTCTGGCCGTTGCGCGTCGAACTCTAAGCTAATTTCAAACTAACTCTAAGCCCCGTTCAAAAAGAGAGAAAGGAAAGTCACGCCAAGGGTATTACATACTCGTCTCATCTCGATCGGACTATATTTATGAACGAGAAGTTCTCCGGCCGTTTCGCTTTATGTTCTTACCCTTTTTCATACTTTATGAACAATGTTGTTTGTAATTCTTGTTACATCGATGCGTGCACGTGAATGAGAAATTTGTCTTCGTGCAATTTCATCAACAAAAATTTACGAACAATTTCGGAAGCAAACTTTTGTTTCATTTCACAGAGAACATCAAAATATCCGTTTCAATATTTCGTTTGTTTTATCCATTTTTAATTATCCAAACAAAATAGAAAATAAAAAAACTACTACCTTCGATAGAGGGATAGATAAAATAAATAGTTTTCAACAACTAGTAAAAAAAAGTTTCAAAAGGAATATTAAAATTCTGATTAAATTAAATTCTTGCGGGTATACGGATAAAAAATATATATATATTACGCTCTGTACCTGCCGGCAAAGTGAAACAAAAGAGAAAAAAACACGGGTAAAGAGACATTTTACGTACACCACGGAAAAAGTTTATCACGTATAAAGTTTGGTGTGCAAGATTCCAGATTCTATGTGCGCGTTATTTTGAAATTGATAAAATGGTATCACAGTTTTTCTCGCTGTCACGCGTTGGTCTCCTGGCTATTCAAGGAGATCTACGACGCGACATGCAGTTTCGCGTGCGATTCTGCTCTCAACCGTCAACTCCCACGCGACTCTTTTCTATTCCATCCGCGTGACGAGCGCGATGTCAGGGACAGCGGATAACGAAGATCCGTATCTCGTTCGTATTTCGGACAATTTCCGACTTCCTCCCGGTAACCGCAACGGCGTTAATTAACCTGTATATAATTGATATCGGTGACTGCCCAATATCTGTCGACCGCGATAGCCACCAGATGCAATATCGAGGCTGTGCAACATAGAACGTCGCTGCTGGTCCACATGTCGCAGAGCTCCGGACCGAGTGACCATGCCGACTTTATCTGCAATAAACAGAATTATCTATCATATAGAGCGTGAGTTTGGCGCGACGCACGAACGCAAGCGAGAAATCAATGCGATCAACAACAGCGTGCAGTCGCAGATCTTACATCGAAAATGTTTCGAAATAAGGTGAACATTGGTTATGAGATATTATTGGTAAGAGTAATTGTTATAGTTTGTTCTGTAATTTGTTTTAATAAAATAACAAAAATATTATTTAAAAAAATAAAAGTTTTAAGTTAATTTGATCTATGAGTGTTTTGTTTGATGTTTATGAAAAACTTACATTACGTGCTTATACACTTTTTATTATTTCATCTAATAATATGTTTTTTTTTGAGAATATCTAAAAATAAACACAGGGTGTCCGGAAAGTCGTCCGCAAAACTTCGGGAAATGATTGAAGATTAAAAAAGAAGAAAAAAAAGTTATATAAACATAGATCCGAAAATAAGTCGTTTCCGAGTTATAACCACTTTTATGTTTAAAAATCGTAATTTTTTTGATTATCATAATCGTAATAATCATAATTTATTTTATTGTATTTTAACATAAATAACTTAATTTCAAATTATTTTGATAGAAGAATACCTGCATTCGTGCTGAAAAGGTTATTTTGAACATTATATTTAATTCGACTTAAATACCTGTTTATATTTATCCTATGATTTTAAAGATAACGTAATTGTATTTACAAATATTAAAAAATTGAAAAAAACTTGAGAAATAAAAAATAAGAATTACGAAAAAATTAAAAATTAAGAAAAATTCAAAAAATAAAAAATAAGGGATGCTAAAGCGAACATAAACGTAGCTATAACTTGAAAACAACTTATTTTCCAACCTATGTTTATATAACATAAGTTTTTTTCCTTCTTTTTAGATCTCCAATCACTTTCTGAAGTATTGCGAGCGATTTTCCGAACACTCTGTATAATAGCCAGTTGTTGTGCAACGTACTTATATCGTATAATGACGCACAAAACGTCAAATTGTTGTGTAAATATTTATTTTTACACGAAGGGCTGTTCGGTCGATTAGTATAGATTGCACGTAGTTTGGTGTGCGGCAGTTTTCCACGAGGTAGGGAGTGCGAGAAAATACGGATCGAGGGGTCGAAAGAGAAAACCATCCGAGTCGAAACCATGGCCGACGCGGTGAGACGGGCGTAGAAAGGGAGTCGGATAAGAGTGATGTCGAAGTGTCGGCGAGAGAAAAAGAGAAGAGAAAAGGGAAGCAATGGAGGGAAACTGATGCATGCCTGCTTAAAAGTCCATTCATGGTATTGGAATCTATCTTCGAAAGCCAATCGTCCCTTGTCCTCCTTTCAGCACTGCGGTCCCTTCGCCCATAGACATTCACCCCCGTCCTTTATACTTTGAGATCAGAACATTCCGGAAGTTGATGAATCGCATCCATCTTGCCGGAAACATAAACACGTTCCAAAAATTGTATCAATCGTACGAAAGTCGATAAAAGAGCAGTTTCAACCCGTCGCAGGACGTCCAAGAAGGATTTATGATAGCGGAAGTAACAGTTCATCCATCATATAAAGTGTACACAAAACTTCGAACTGCAAAAGATTTTTTCTCACTTGTATTTATATTATATTGAATATCACGAAGCTCCTATCGTAAGTGATTAAACTTGAAAATGCACGTAAATGATTTTGAAAATAATAAAAGTTTAAATTCTATGTGATAAAAGAAAACTTGTGTAATAGATGTTGCAAAATTGAAAAAATAAGATAACAATTTTCTTCACGCCGTAATCAATATTTTAATCTAATATTGCTTTACAATAAAACTCATTTTTCTTTTGTTGTTTTTTTAAAGTAGGATGTTGACGACGGCAAGCTTCAATTCGAATTTCTAGCGCTTCTTACAAATCCTTTCCGCATCGGGCGGTATCTTTCAAAGTCTTCAAAGGCTCTAATCAAGTCTCTCGCATGTGCTCGTGCAGTTAATGGAGTCGTTCGCGTTTCTGGTGTCCGACGATAAACGCGGAGGCGAAAACGAGCGGTTGTAAAGCGGACATCCATCAAACGTTTCGGATTAAGCGGTAGACGTATAAATTTCCATGTGTCCGTGTTAGGGAGGAGGAAATAAATGTGTGTGTGTGCGTGTGTGCGCGCGCGCATCTCGGCAATCTAATATATAGCGGTAAAAATTGCTAATGCATCTGCCGTCAACTGAATGCCGGTCGAAATAGCACTGCACCATTAAACAATAGCGGAGCGATGCGATATCGATACGCCAGCAACACAACAGGCGAAAAAGATAGGTTCGCGCGCGAGAAACGTGAAGAGAGAGAAAGAGAGTGAATTATTCCACGCCTCGCGAAGAAGTACTTGTGAAAAGCGAGAGAGAAAACTCGCAAAAGTTTGCCTCGGAAAATACAACGGAAGTGTGGAAATATAATATAGGGAAAAAGTGGAATGAAGAAAGAAAAAGTGCTCAGATGGGATGGGTGCAGTAGCGCGAGCACGAATGGCGAGAGAAGAAGCTGTTGCGTTGAGAACACGAAAGGAGGAGGAGGAGGAATCTAAATAAGAATGTATGTTAGCGGGAAAAACGTCGTCCACGCGAATGAAAGTACATAGCGATATGCTGTTAATACGTATACGCGTCTGTCAAGTTGAATGAATTTTCATTTCGGAATGAAAACATAAGGCTAACAAAGAGAAAATCGCCTTTTTTTATTCTTTCGCGTCAATTACACGATTGCGATTAGACTTAAATTATCGATATGGATTTTCGGATGTATCGATTTCGTTATGTTTTCAAACGCGCTTTAAAAGAAGGGTGAATCATCGTATTCAAGAATACATGTGATAAAAAATGGAGCTACGCTCTAGACGTATTTCTCTATTTCTTGACTATTTCCGATAAGATCTTTATTAAATTACAGATAACGCTTGCCGTGCAAAAAATCGCGGTGATTAACGCCTATGTTATTCCTTGTTAGGTGGCCGCTTCTCTGCTTACATATTTACTGCCGTGTGTATACATATATTAAGTGAAAATTCACGGCACGTAGCAAACTTCGTCGAGAGGAGAATCGAAAGCTAATCATTCATATGTATACATGTGTGCTATACCGCTACTATATAGCTTGTTATCTCTGTATACTGGCGCCTTAATTGATGAATATACATATATACATATATTTACAGGGTGTCTGAAAAATTTTGGCACAGCCGAAGTGTGAAGATAGATTGTTCTCTGTTCAGATTAGATCAATCTGAACAAAAAAATCACTTATTATTTTATAAAATTCGCAATATGTTTATTGAGTTATTAATTAATGAATGTGAGCGTGTGGAAAGTGATGACTCCGAACTCTGTAGAGCAAACAAGCGCGAGCGGCGTGTGACACAGGCTTTTTGCGATCAACTGATTTTTACGACGACGCAACTGAAAATTATACACGCCTACCATAGTCCAGCCCATCGCTTTCCACGCACTCATTGGGTCTCATTTATTAATTAATAACTCAATAAATATTGTGAATTTTGCAAAATGGTAAATAATTTTTCTGTTTAAAATGATCTAATTTATCGTTAATATACTTCGACTGTGTCAAAATTTTTTAGACACCTTGTATATGTATAATAACGGCGTTCTCCATCGCTTACGTTTACACTGGACACATGGAGAAAATGAGAAAAATATATCTAAGTATGGAAAATTGCATTAGCTTTTATAAAGATGATAAATCATGATATGGTGGTATATAATTTGTAAGATTACAATATTTATTATAACAAAAAATGTTGCCATTTGAGATAATATTTCAAGGTCAGCAACAGAGAGATACATTAAATTTCTATATATATATCTTCTCAATAATAAACTTTAATATTGAATATTTATGTCACACGTCACGCATAATAAAGTAAGCTAATTCTGAAAATCACGGCGAATTACTCCTCTATCATAATTATCACACACGTGGAGCTACAAATTTCATAAATCTCGAGTCTCTTTTATATTGATAAATTATTGTTAAAGTTTTTTGCGCAACTTCTGGCTATTGAAATTCCACACGAAAATTTGTGAAGCTCGAACATAATAAATTGTTCTCGTTTTTGCGCTCGGATGGTTTTCGAAGTTTTTCGCGTTAGTCATTAGAGAGAATACATAATTAACAAAGTTTTTAAGATGAAAGAATTTAGCGTTCGTAACGCCAAAATCCCCAAAAGATGTGCATATATAAACTGCCTGGTTTTGCGTGTGGCATTTTTCTCCAAACACAATGTCGACGCGGTGTATCAAGCTGCAATTGAAACGGCCGTAAACGCGCGCGGTTCCTTACACGGATGTAACAAAACTCGTGAATGGTTGCAACGGACCATAGATTAAAGTTTAACAATGAAAGTATTACGCGCGAAAAGAGAATGATCCTTTATGTTACGGAGAGAATGGCTAGTAAGTTGAACATTTCATCCAAAAATCCTGCAAAATTTTCATCTCATAAATGTGAATTGTAATAAAACTGCAGTGCATTTTGTACACGTGTTTATCAGTATAGCTGCGCAAATTTAAATGTTGTTATGTATTAGATGTGCGTGTTAAGCGCGTGTTAATTATCAAGTCCGTCAAAATTAAAAAATCAAGAGTGAAATTGTTTATTTAATTTAACAATTAAATTAATTTTATTCTTAAATTAATCATGTGACAAAACTTACATAAAAATATTTTACATGACAATTATGAAATAAACAATATCTGCGAGTTGAAATGGTGGTTACTATTGATAGTGCTGGTATGCAACGCAAAGATATGAATTACATACATAAGGCGATTGAGAAATATCCGAAACGACACATATGTAGCACAGTAGTATCCATCGCTATTCGACCGTCGATCTGTGCAAAAGAAATCTTGGCTATCGGTGTAAATATACCTGCCTGTAAATATACTTTGGCGAGCTGTCACACAAACACCACGTGCGATATTGAGCCAACGTTTGACATTTGTCACAACTTTTCTTCTGAAGGATAAAACTTGTCAATGACAAAACCCCCTATGCGATACTACTCGTCGCTATATGTTCTTTTGAATATTAATCAATCGACTTTCGTATGTTTTTTTACATACAGACGGTCTGAAAATTTTTGACAAAGTCGAAATATAAAAATAAATTTAGTCAATCTGTACAGAAAAGTTATTTATTATTTTGCAAAATTCGCAATTGTTATTGAGTTATTAATTAATTAATGTAAGCGCGTGAGAAGCGATGGTCCGAATTTTGTAGACGTGTATGAAGTAAATATGAAGTTTTCAAAGAAAAAAGCTTTATCTCATGCAATGTTCTAGCAACGAAAGGCGGAACAAACAAGTGAGCGGCATGTGACACAGTTCTTGCAATCAGTTGAGTTTTACAGCGATATAACTGAAAATCATGTACAAAATCCGGACTATCGCTTCTCACGCGCTCGTATTAATTAATTAATAACTTAATATGATAAATTTTGCAAAGTTTGCAAAATAATTTTTTAAATCAATACAATCCGATCGACCTTCACATTTTTTATCAAAATTTTTCAGACATCTTATATATCTATGCATGTGTATAACATCATTATGTGTATAAACATGGCAAACGCGCGGAAATTTATATTCTCACTTTCCTATATAAAAAAGAGCATTTGGACCGAGAAGTGCGCGTTTTGGAGCCGAATGTATCGCATCTATTGTTGTCTCTTTTCCGCGTTGCCGATTGGTTGGTTGGTTGATCGAGTCAAATCGAATCGGTAAGATCGAGAGAGTAAATAATGAAAAACGATTTTGAGACAGGTCGTCGTATATGTAGAGAAAATTAAAAACGTAACTAAAGTAACGTGACAGGGAAGTGTAGAAAAACAACACATGAAAATAACGTGACTGTAATTTATATTATATATAACAATTAATAATACATATTATACATATAATTTATTATATATTTATAATATTATACTTTATATTGTATTATATGTGTATTATATACATACTACAGTAATGTCACTGACCTCGGCCGCGCGGCCTTGGCGGGTCACTGACCTCGCCAGCGCGGCCTTGGTGGGGGGGCGGTCACTGACCGCGGGCACGCGACCGCGGCGGGGTCAATGACCTCGGTCGCGCGACTGCGGTGGAGTCACTGACCTCGGCCGCGCGACCGCGGCGGTGTTACTGACTTCGGTCACGTGATTACGGTATATATATATATATATATATGTGTGTATGTGTGTGTATTATATATAGATATAGAGTTTTATATATAATATATATAATATTATTTTTTTACTCTTTTTTCTGTCACTTTAGTCACGTGTTGTTTTTCCACTTCTCTCTCACTATTTTTCGAGTTTGATTTTCACGCGTTATTTCTGACATCTCTCATATGTATATTATGTTTTATAAGACGTATATACTAGCTGTCATCGCGGTAACAGATTGTGTTAACTTACACAACACGTTAAAATAAAAATGACAATAGCGAGCGCGTAGCGCGCGCCTGTGTTGTGCTAGTAGTTAAAAATATTCACGATTGCACATGTCTTCGTGTCACAAATAGCTACACGATCTATCGCGCGATGCGAAAAAGTAGAACGCGATAATTACATATTGTAAACGACTATATCAGAGTATGGAGAAACATTAACATACCTCGTAAAGTGCTCCAAGAGGCATAACGAGACAGGCCACCATAAGATCCGCAACAGCCAAACTAACGATTAAGTAATTTGCCACAGATTGCAAATTTCGCTCTATCACGATAGCCGCTATGACGAAGAGATTGCCTGTAATAAAAGCATGTGTGTTTATTTTTATGTGAACATATTCCTCTCTCTTTCTCTCTCTCTCTCTCTCTCTCTTTCACACACACTCACTCACACAAAACTTTTTAATTTAATAAATTCTGAAATATATTTTCAACTTTATAAAAATATACCGAACTATATAACTATATAACTATATAAAAGTAAACTTTGTCTTCTTTTAAGACATTAATTTTAGTATGATTTATATAAAAACTGTTACGCACAAGCACATTACTAAAATATATCTTTTGTAAAAGTACCTCGTGATTATATTTTTTTTTTTCACAACATATCTATATAAAGATTCAATATCGACTTTTCCATGTAACTATTTTCAGCTTGAATGTCTGTACATCATATGTTTCTTTTTTCAACTTTGATAAAAACTGTGTACAAAATGTTTTTTGTTTTTACATTAATAAAATGTTGCGCACGTCACAGCTATCACTTGAGCGCAAAGTTAGCCGTGGTCACGTGTGATCAATTCAAAATTAACTATCAAGCTACTATTTTGATGCGTTGCACTCGGATGTGACATTGAACCGCAACTGTGCTCTGTGTTTTTTTACTCGTCTCAGATAAATTTGCATGCGTACAAATAACGAAAATGAAATTTATAACGATATATACGATCGTCTCGGCGTAACAATCGATTCGATCGATCGCGATCGGTCGCGTTCCGCCGTATTTAAAAATCGGCGCTCGTCATCACAATATGCGCTCTGTCACTCGTTCTAATACGCGCATATATCAATAATCGTTCAAACGAACGTTGTAAATACCGAGTGTTCGATATGTAAATTGTTTGGACCATTAACCGAGCATCGACAGATCGAGATAAAACGGAGTGTCTGATAAGATTTGTAAACCGCGCTCCACCATTATGACCCGTTTTTGCTGAACTTTTGCGCCGCGCGCGCATCGCGCGCAACACTCGTGTAGAATCGTGCCGAACAATGTGAAATTAAATTAAATTTACGAACGATCTTTCTTGCGTCACTTTAAACAAAGTTTGTTTTCTTCATTTTATTAAAAACGAAGTTTTTTTCATCTTATCGAGAATAGCTGTCGCGGGGAAAGTTTACAAATATGCGCGTTTTGTGATATAATGTTCACCGCATCAAAAGAGCAATTGCCGAGAATATTGAAGAACGTGCCGGGAATATCGAAAAAATTCACAAGTAGTCTCCTCTCCAAATTTGTTAAATTTACACGCTCGATCGTTTTGAGCATAGCGTTTAGAATTGATATCGATCGCTGCAAATTGTTGAAATAATGATAAAAGCTCGCGTATTATTATATGTTTTATGCTCGAGAGTGATCAAGTACGTTTTCAAGATCGAGAAACATAGAGAGAGGTATGCATTACTTATCGTTCGGTAAGTTTGTTTCTCAATTATTTATTTGTTATGGAATTTTAAAAATAAGAAAAAAATATTCTCCTTTTCATCGAACTCTCTGAGCTTATAAAATTTAAATAATCAACTTTCCGTAGTTATTTATCAGTTCGACGCACGAAAGACAATATGAGAGGATTTATCTATTTAAAATTATAACAACAACTCGTGCGAACAACATGCGCGTTGGTTTGTGCATTGTTGCAAAGTCGTTAAGCAAATTGAGATCGCGAACGCTCGTCGCGCTTTCGACTCTTTAATAATGGTTCTGTAATTGGCACTGCAAGGGGCAAATTCGGGAGAGGGAGGGAGGAGGCTAGTCGCCATCAATTCCGACGGCGAGACTGAATAGCGGCAATCAAGTTCGGCAAACTCGGGGATAGATGAAATCAGTCGTACGTTCTCCTAGACGCTGGTTCGACGCGACGAATCGATCGTACGCGTTCGATTTGCGCGAAAATCCAAGTTCGTCGAACCGTTGTTACACATTCTTCAAACTCCGCGATATCGATTTCTCGCGATCTTCGGACTATCGCCGTTAAAAAGAGCGCGTACGTATACAAGGGTCAGTCGATGAAAAGCAGGAAACTTCTCGTCCCGGAATCGTCAACTCCGTGAAAAATATCTATCGCCCGACGCGAAAACGAGTTAGACGAAAAAACATCGAGTCTCCGCAGAGGGATCGCACGCGTCGAAGAAAAAAGTCATATTTTCAGACACGTGTCGTGTTGCTTCAAATTTTTCGTCAAAAAAATATTTTAAAAAGCGCATTGTGTGCAATATACTTAAAAAAATTAATAAATAAAGTATATTATCAGTGTTAGTACTTTTATTCAATAAAAAATCTCTTTTTTGAAAAATTTGAATAGTTTTCGAGTTAAATTGAAGAATATCGCACAAAAGAGAGAAAAGATTAAATAGATATTTGTAAAATTCACAGATTAAAACAATTTAAAGATTATGGAATTTTTCCTGGCCACGATAATAGCTTAATCAAACTTTGCTGATACCGCGAAGCTCGATGGTAATCGAAATTTTCGAGATTTGCATGGTTTTCTCTTTAAGAGAAAAATTCATATATTAGTAACGCGATGTTACATTCATTGCGCAAACGTGCTCGACGATCGCTGCTTCAAGAGTGTTTAAGGAAAATTGGATTAGCAACTCGAAGCTAACGTTTACCAGGATGTAACATCGTTGCTCGGCGTAACGCATCACTTCATATCACCATTTTACGCGGATAGTGTGTGCGTTCTTTCCGATTTTGTTACAAAACGTGTAAAAAAAAAAAAAAAAATTACATACACTCTCTTTTTTCGTACAACGAGATAAATAATTAAACAACAAAAACTAAAATGTCAAATGAATGAACAGTATAAGAAAACAGTATTCTGATAAATAATAGAATATATATAATAGAAAATTACTGATATATTTTTGTTTACATATATTCGACTGATAGTGAATAATAAAACAACAAAAGAAATTTAAAGAGAGCAAATAACAAAAAAAGTCAATTGGTAATTTTTAATAATTGAAAATTTTAGTTTTTAGAAATGCTAATGCAAGTTTCAAGAATACTTATATCTTCAAATATTCGGTCTCTTCTTAATCGGATTTCTGACCTAAAACGAACAGTTTAGAAGTAAAGGGAAATGGGCGAGAGAAGTTGAGTTCTTTGAAAGAGCAAGATCGTAATCATGAGAGATGTGTACTTAATTAAATTTAATTTCCGGGCGAGACGACAATAGACTTCGCTTAAATTAAAGAGCGGGTTAACTTCGGGAAACGATCGAGAGGCCGCGTAATTCGTACTTTCTCTCATCTTACACTTGTTCTTGTAGTAAGTCGACACGAATGTTCGATGCAGGACTTGAGAACTTGTACTTCTACAAATGTACGGGCAAATTTCTTTCTTTTCCTTCCCCCATCCATTAGTTTCGCATTACGTGTCCGCAAATACACAGAAGTCCCACGACGACAACGACCGTGTACAGTAAGTAGGTGGCTCTCGAGGACAGCGGAGGAGACGCGCCGCGACTCAGCTGCACACAGCGCGGAACGTCTCTACGGAGGAAAAAATATAACCGCTACGATGTCGCGCGGCGAGTAGAAAAATAGAAAAAAAAACGCGAAAGAAACGCGACATTTTACTTTAGCGTAATTAACTCTCGCGAGGAAAAAGGAAGCGAGCATCGAGAGGATGTTTCAGCACACCTGGATCTGAAATACGTTCTCGCACTCCGTTAAGAAGCATATTTGCAACTTGAAGCAAAAAAAAAAAAAAATGAATTCACACATTCAAAGTTCCAACGGATAAGCCGCGCGTGCGAGAGAGAAAAGAGAGTCGTGAATAGATACGAGCTGCGTTTGCTTGTAGAGAGATAATTTACACTTTGCAGTTTTTAATCCGCCACGCTGCTACGCTCGGCTTGATGCCGGGTTCTTTCATGCTTTGTAGCTTTCTGGAACGTCGGGAACGTCTTGACGAAAAAAATTTTTATAACGTTTATACGCGTGTACTGTACATCGAACGGAGATATAATGAAAAGTTCATATTTTTTTATATTTATTATTAGTTGGGATGATGTATATATGGATTGTGCTATATGTTGCAACAAATATATCCGATCTATTGAAATCAAAAATAGTAAAAAGTTTTATAATTATCTACTATGTGTGTTATTTAATTTAATTCCGATATATATATATATATATACATATATCGTAAGATATATTTGAATTCAAAAAAACGCCGGCGCGTGTTGATCGGCGTCAGTTTTAATTTTTAAATGAAGTGAAAAAAAAAACAAGAGTATTATACAAAAACGAGGCGCGTCGCGAACAGCAATTATTTTTATTCGCACGAAACACGGTACATATTATTTCGAGAGCGCTTTCGGGAATTCACAAAACCGAAATGCAACGACGCCAACATTTCTGGACAAAACAAAAACAAAAAAACCAAAAAAAAAAAAAAAAGAAAACTGAAGAGAACGAAACGAGATATTAGGCGTCAAAAGCATCAATCTTTTTTGTTTGAAAACCACAACTCTGTCAGTCGCAAACTAGATTCCGCGGCGCGCAAACAACATGTACAAAGAAGAGTGGATAATACAAAAAATCATTGCACGCAAAACGCGAGCGTTGAAAACAACAAGAATTACGCAATAGATTTTTTTTCATCGCGGATAATGAGATTTTTTCGGGAACGAATGAGAATATTGGGTAACACAAATTGTTTTGATATTGAAAATTTGTTATTGAGATTTGTGTTTTTTTTTTGTAAAAAAAATAGTTAGACGTTGAATCTGATATTTGATATTGCACATATAAATATAAATTTCGTAAAAGATAGTTCAGAATCTCTCTTTCTCTTTTCCATCCGCTGACCTACTATCCTATTATCGCACACGCTTTCCAAATCTATCCTTCATATTCATATACAAATGTCCTTCATCACAAATTTATCTTTCGTGACATTCTACATGTCTCTCTTTTGTCATTCTCAAGGGCACGGGTTTAACATCTACGTTGGCTCGTGACATCGAAGCGGAAATGATGTATAATTTATTCCTGCAAGTGAGTCTACTTCAGAGAGAGGTAAGTGAATTTCTCTGCTCACGACCACACGTGCGATCGATGTGCGGGCGTAAAGTATGCCGAAAACTGCGGTCATGCTTCGTTATCCAATGAACAGGCCGTGTAACTTGTTTTCGTCGCGGCACCGTACAACAGACTCAAAGTGAATTATACGGCCGTTTATTGATTAACAAACCGAAACCAAAGTGGTCGGGAAATGTTGCAACCTCTCTTTATCAATCGCTCCTGGTTCTGTCATGCGCGCGGAAATTCATTTATTTTAACACGCGGAGAACGGACCGACGTATAAGTAAATTATATATTATATTCTCGCGTATATGACGTCACACTAGGAGCATCAAAATTAAGCGCAACAATACGCTTTTGTTTCCTAGGCAATATGAGAAATAATTCATGCTTTTACATTTGTAATTGTGCTTGAACACAACTTTCGTTGCGTTTTCGTTTTGCTACGTACATACAGTTTCACTCGAAAATGTAGACCGGGGATCTCGAAAACGGGAACTATCAAAGATATATCTGATTACGTCTTTATGCTGGATACATTGTGTGTTCGCATCGCGTCGTTTAACCTTTATAGAATCGAAGGGCAAGGTAGTAACACATTCAGTTCGCGTCGGCGGTCTAACCTATCGGCTTGCTATTTTTTCTTTTTTTTTTTTATGAACGAACAAAATGTCCGTCAACATTGTGTGTACGAGTTGTATATCGAGAAATTTTCTTCTCGAATTTGTTTTTCGTTCTGACAAAATTTGTGTTTAAAAAATTCAACGCTAATTTAATTAATTTAATTAAGACAATATACACGGGTATAATGTTAGTAATTTAATTAAGTGCTCGTTTTCTACCACGGTATACTGCACGGTATACATTTATGTAACCCGAGTTGCTTTGCTTAAGAATACGAGTTCTAATTGTTTTTTCGAAAGAAAACAAACATGTTTGTTTTTCCGTTTCTTCATATATTAATATTTCCATGTGTTCTTTTTTAATAATATAATAAAATTATATTTTTATATTTTGTATAATCTTCATCAAACTAATTTATCACATTTTATTAAATATATTATATTATATCGGTTTATTAAATATATTATATATGTACAAAGTCGTTTCTCTTTTTCCGTCTCTCTTTCAATCAATTTTCACTTTAACTTCACAACAAATCGAAAATTGAAACGACGCTCATTTCTATTATTTTTTCTCTCTCTCTCTCTCTCTCTCTCTCTCTCCGTTTATCATTAAAACTATATTTCTAAATATCTGTCTCCGATTTCGTGCGTTTCCCTGACTGTAGTTAATTATCTCGATGTGTTCTATGAGATAGCAAACGTGCAAAATCATGCTGCTCTCCTGTTTGTGCCCCGAAGAGAGACGAGCGAAATCCAGCCAACGCAACGCACACTCTATTCGAAGAGTTTTGCTTGATTTGCGGCGACTATTGTGCAACGATGAGAGAGGGGAGGATTATTTAATTTACATTTGCGCAACGATATTCACGGTCTTGTGCCTCGCCAAGCGTTCATAAAATTTACCCTACAATGAGAGACAGAGAGAGAGAGAAAGAGAGGGAGAGAAAGACAGAGGGAGAGCAAGCGTATCTACGCCAGCTGACGTCATGTTCAACGAACCGTTAGTTAGCCAGTGAACTATGCTAATATTGGAATGTGCACCTGAGCCTGTCAAGTTGTTGAGGAGGCGTACGTGTATGCGTGTACGCGATGTGTGAAAACGTGTACAACAACTGCCAGCCGATCTCTTTTTGCATCTCCCTTGGTTACATCCACCCACAATGTTACAGCGGAGCGATAAACTTACCTGTTTCCCCGACAACTTTTATCTGTATCCCCTTCCGAGAGATATACGGGTCCGCAGGGAATCCGGAAATGTTCACGGATTTATTTCGCGAGACTTAATAGCTGGCGAGCGGCACTAAAAAACTATTCGATACAAAATCGGGAAGTTTCACGTTGCGAAGAAAAAACAACAATGCGTGAGATTTGACACGTATATATTAACGCAGCATGAGAAAAAGAATTCTTACTTCACTTTAACCTTTAGGGAGGGTCAACTTTTTGTTTTGGAATCTTGTATTTTTGATACCTAAAATTTGTATACATCTCTTACATAAAGTTATCGCAATTTCAGAACCATTATAGTGATTGGACTGGCTCTCAAAGAGAGAAACAAATGAAAATTGTCTAAAATAAAAATTGAAGTGTTTATAAGATTTTTTTCAAAATCGCTAGTTACGATTACAAAATTTGTTCAGTTTCAACGATTGAACCAATATCGCCAACCAAATCTCAGCAGATACGAGAATATATGAAATTGTTTTTTAGCGTTACCCAGAACTAACGACGTAGAAAGTTTTTGTAGTCTATTTTTGGTTTTTATGTTTCGTTATTTTTTCTCATTTTTATTTATTTAAAAACAATTTTGTAGATTACGTTTTTGCATTAATTAAAAAAAATGTTGTGCATTACTTTTTTAGATTTATTTTCCGTTATTTTATTTATGTTATATATATATATATATATATATATTTATTCTTATATTTTATTCTTATATTTTATGTTGTTTATTCCTATATTTATAATTTTATAGTATATTAGTAATTAGTAAAACTGTGAAAAAATTATATTATAATCTGTCATTTAGGATATTCTTGTATTGTTTGTTACATCTCAAAACAAGGAGTTATGCATGTAGGATATTTATGTATTATTTGTTTACATCTTAAAAAACAAGGAGTTACGCATATTGGAGTGTGATTCACAGTACACATAGAGCGAGTTCGACGACTTGTTTCTCCATGCAATACATATTGTCGTGACGGACTTCGTGATAAATTTTCATCAATTTGTATAGGAAAAAATGGACATCCTGTCATGCGAGAGAGACTAGATGTTGCATCACTAAGAGTATACGTTTCCAATAAAATACATATATCTAACATTTGAAAACAGAAAGAAGTGTTTTAGCCATGCTGCATATACATATATGTATATTTCAAATATACATATGTATATGTACACACACACACATATAATATATATGTACATATAATTCAAAAGATAATCGAATAGTTATTTGAGCAATTAAAGTAGCTTCTCTTCTAAATGTTAAAAAACAAATAAAAAATAAATATTTTTTTAAGACACATCATATGCGAATTTGTACCTTCCGTATGTCTTTTAAATTGCATTTTGCAAATAGAATTAAATTAGTAACAGCTTGTTTTATTAAATACTTCAAAAGTTGGACGCACGGACAAACAGCTTTTCATTCCTAGTAATTTATAAGTTGCGAACTATTTTGCGCAAGTGTAAAAGTAAACGAGAGAGAGAGAGAGAGAAAGAGCGCGCTTTCTATTTTCCGACACGCAAAAAGTTCTTGGAATATTTTGTATAACTGGTTGTACAAGTATTAATTACTTGATAATACTTTTGACAAATAACGCGCGGAAGTCATTTATCAGACATCGCATTAAAATCTCTTTAGCGTTGATAAGAATCGATCAGCACAGAGATTTTTGTATTAAAACACGTGCGCTATTATTCTCGATGTCGCATCTTCTATGAGGAGTAAAGGAGAAAGAGGACACAAAGAGAGAAAGAGTCGGGAACTGACTGAGAAAAAAAGTTTGTATCTCAATACGCGAAGCAGAATGTCAGCTCGGTTCGTCTCGCGGAAAATCTTGTTTACGCAAAGCATCGCTGGCTGAATGTCGCGATTATCGTCAACCGCTCGGTGATATATTATTCGCCCCGGAGACGTGTCAGTTTCTCTCCAAAGCAATCTTCGCCATTGTTTCCAACAACGGTTACGACCGACGGGACGGTCTCGCCTTTGCGAAACCGTCATCGAGGCGATTAATCGGAGGTGGAGTTACTTGGCAGTTGACGGTATATAATTACGACAAGAAGAACGATTAATCGACGCGAGCAAGATCAATTGCGTCGCGAACACAGGTTCGACCGACGACGGTGTGACCTGACGTTGGATTGAGGTCGATAATTTTCATTAATTATCTTCGATAACGTTTGAATGAGAACGAGAACCTGAACGATTAACCCGATTGTTTTTCGAATCAAAGGTCTTTTCAGAGTTTTTCAACTTGAATTGATTCGATCTATTATCATTTTTTTAACACCGACGAAAAAATAGACGACTATTACTGTTACTGTTTATTCGATGTATTAAACTTTTATTTCAAATTACTTAAATCTATATCAAATTACTTACAATTACAGTTTTTGTTCTCGTTTTCTATATTTTCATCACGCTTCATAAGCTTCGTATGCAGTTGGTTAATCAGTTGCGAATAGCGCGCGTGAGAAATCGCGTTCGTAAAAATCCGTAAAGTAATCGTTTCCGTGATTCAAAGGAGTTTAGAGCAGGATTTTCGTCTTAAAATTTCACGTACGTCGTGAACTTTTTATGAAACTGCTCTTGTGAAAAGAGAGAAATAAAAAGACGCGATAAGTCGTCAGACCTTTGAAATATATTATTACTTCTGTGATACAAACTAGCCTTTTCAGTTTTAACACATCGATTCGCATTGCAATATCTATGCATTTGTGTAGTAGACATTTTATATTACGTTTTATATTACGTTTATAGTAAAACAGAAAAAACTTCCAGATAGATATTTTACGTGCGAGACGAGTAAATGTAAACTATTATAAAATAAACACTCGAGTTTTCTTCGTACACATTATTTTGTATTTTTGTTCAGACAATATAATTGCTTTTTCAAAAATATAATAATTACTTAATACAATCATCGAAACAAAAACAAAGAAGTAAACTAGAACCTTTTTGTTATAAATTAAATTAATAACAAAGTTCTTGTCGTGTGTATGTGATAAAAAAAAACAATAAATGGACTTACCTATGATAGTCATGAGGATCAGGATACAAAGTACGGTAGCTCTCAAAATGACTGTAACGTCGACGATGAAGGCTGACGTTTCCACGCTCGCGTTCGCGGCTTGATTGACATGGACTTCCATCGTGGATCTTCTATAGTGTATTTTCCGTCTTCAGTAATCGCTATTCATCATCTGGTTAAATAATGTATCATGATCCGCTCTTGTTAGAGTGGATCAGCAGCTTTAGGTTTTTTCCTTCTCGTTTTCGACAAACGTGAAGTCAACACCTGACCGATAAACGTCGGTTACTTTTCTCGTGCACTTCTATCTCTATCTCAGAACTTCCCGCAGACCCTATTTTCCGCAATTTTCTCTTCCAAGGCTCCATGGACTTTGAGATGAAAGTTTTTTCAAGGGATGTCAGAGTTCTTTCAAACGTGTGTCTGAAACAGCAATGTGGTGAGGGAATTTAGATACCGTTAAAATGTTACTTTTACGGTTGATTTTTATATTGAGGAAAACGAATTTTTAACCGGCAAAAATTCGCGCTGCAGAATATGATGATAAATGATTTGTACTCTTCCGCAATTTCACGACTCAATAATTTTTTTTGTAATTTTTTTCTATTATAGATTTTTTAACTGCAATTTCCTTAAATCCAAAAATATTATTTTTAAATATTACTTAAATATTATTAATATTTTTTTAAATATTATTAACATTCACAATTATATTCTATATATAACGAAAAAAAAATATTGAATTTCGCGTAAAATGTAAAATTTTCGAGAGAATTGTGCTACATACGATCGAGCAAATGTGCAAGGCGTCACGTTTATGGTAACCCGCGAAACCAATGAAAATTGGAACAATCGATCAGCAATTATCGGGATTGTAACGGCCAACTCCCACAATCGACTTTAATAATGAATCCGCGGCGTTGCGCGAAAAATAGATGCGTTTACAACAAACGTCGGTCGTGAAATTGCCTTAGGAGGTCATATGTACTCTATTAAATTTTCCGATAGAGTCGGAACGTTTCATTAACTTAAATTCATCGAAACCTATATTCGCCATTTGGTTTAAACTGATAGAATTTCCAGACGAATGGCGCTTATGTTTGATAGCAGCATCGATATACCGTAACGAGTCACACAATTTTGCTCATGGTTCGTTCACAATTCGTTGCACAATTTTATTACTTCGTCGAGCTATAAATGATTCTATCAAAATGTAAATTTTCAAGCAGATCAGAGACAGAAATTCCTTATTTCATATATCTTAACACAAGATATCGATATATGTTTAATAAAGTGGAATTAGAATGGAACAATTATAAAACAAAAGAAAAGTTTCAACCAGGTTGATCATAGGCTCTTTGGTTTTTTCTTGGTTTTATAATTGTTTTACCGAGTCGTTATTAATATTAATTAGAATGGAACACTTGAATTTTCGAAATCGCACAATACAAGTGTCTTTAATATAACAATGTTGTAACATTTTCAGATAAAAGAAGAAACAAATTTCGTTTTTAATTGAATCTTGTTCAAGAACATAAAAGTTATAAAAATAATAAATCTAGAAAAATGTTTGTCGCGCGAAAAATAAATTAAATACATTTTCACGGAAATGCGAGTATTTTTTTCCGCGACGGCACGACAAATTTGTCCCCGTAGTGATTATTGCCGCAGTAGGTTTTTGCGCGCCAAGATCTGAAAGTTTTATTCCCACCGTGTGACGTAAATTCCACGTATTCTCGGCTGACGACCAAAAAAAAAAAAAAAACAAAAAAAAACGTCCCGCCCCTATCTTTCTCATCACCATTTTTCGGTTCCCACTCGTGCGACGAGAGCGAAAAACAAACGTTTTATTACGATAGAGAACTCTCACGGAGTAACTTTGTAACTGCCAACGACGCGGACGCTCGAGAAAAAGCTCAGAAGTGTGCAAAAAAGCGTGCGGCTTCCGTTCGTGAAAACTTCAAAGGAGCGGAAAAACTGAGCGTGTACAACAAAAGAATAAAGGCCAATCAAGCGGACTTTTGTACGAGATACGCGCGGCGCGTGTCACGGGTTAAAAATTTAAAATCATCGGAATCAAGAATATGTATCGATCTGTTGACGTGGCCCGAGTAACCAGCTTTCGCGGATCGTGTTCTCGATACGTATCGACGGTTCCTATCTTCTTATCTCACCGTCATCCGAGAAGATTCACATTTTATTCTCTTATTATAATCTCGTTTACACGTCAATTATTTTGCTGTTCATAAGAATTTTAAATTTTTCGTCGCTCACGAGTTTATTGAGTATTATTACGAAAGAATACGATAGCAAAAAAAGATAAGTTTTTCACGAAATAAAGCAAAACACTTTAATGGCAAAGAAAAAGCTTGTCTCTTAATTTTTTTGTTGTTGTTAAAATACAGATACAGAAAGTTTGTTAGAACGCGATAAGCACGTCGGCAAAGTAAGTCTTGAAATTTCGTTTTCCTGGTGTTCCACTTCTCACCAGAAGATAAAAATTGCATTTTATAGCCTCTATAAAATCTTCCTTTTCCGCAGTAACGCAATCACGATACCGCGAAAGTGCCACTGTAATAGCTGCCGCTTGCGGAAAAAAGAAAAAAAAACAATCGTGAATATTACGAGAAATTTGTGCGCCTCGTAGGAACGTCTCGTCCCGTAATGAAATATTTTATTCATTCGGACATGTAGAGTGTTAATTCAAACTTCGATAATGGAAACAGGCTTTTGCGTTGTTTTTAATGCAATTTTTTTATATTTTAATGAAAACCCGTCGAAACGCGAAGAGATTTAGGAAATACGAAGAAAAATATAGTAGATTTTTACGTTGCGAAAAGTACATACCGTGCGCGTGCGCGAATTATTTATTGTAAATCCTATTAGTTTCAAAATAATTTATTTAAAAAATACACTCTGATAAGAAAAAACTCGTTAATTCTCCGAGAAAGAAACGTTCGGTATTTCGATCAAAATATCTTTGTCGGAAAAGTTTGAAAAAGTTGAATTCTTTTCTCAATACGTCAACTCGTACAAATCTTACTTATTACAAGAGAAAAATTAATAATATATTGCCGGAATCATAAGTATAGCAAAACCACCGCAAACACGCGCGCCACTCGAAATAACGTACGTCATAAACGTATTTCATTCATCATTACGTCGTTACAAAAATCTGTCGTATCCCCAAATTGGTCCATTAATCTGTCCCGTGCGATTTTATCGAAAAGTACAAATGGCGCAAGGAAAATCTGCTCAATGAATTACGTTTAGTCGCGCGTTACGGTAGACATTGTTCGCGCAATAGACCGGAATTGCGGCGTTCGTTTGGCACGCGGGGATCACAGGGGAAACAGTCCGCCACCAAATCTCGCCGTATTTCGGTCAATTCAAAATTGAAAGTGCAGGCGTACGCAGCGGAGAGCAGCCGCACGTGTATATACATTTCACAATAGCAAATGCATTTATCACGAGCAGAAAACTGTAGCTCTCGGTCGCGCTTGCAACTCCATAAATTCTCTGCCATTGGAAAATAGACGGAAGAGGGAGGGGGAGGGGAGGAATACTTCCAACAAAGTGGAAGAAGAAGAGAAGATCGAAAGAGAGACTAAAAGAGAGAGAGAGAGAGAGAGAGAGAGAGAGAGAGAGAGAGAGAGAGAGAGAGAGAGAGAGAAAGAGAAAGAATCGATATGTCGGAAATCTATTTCTGGGAAAAGAAAAACCGGGCAAACTGTTACGTGATTAAATCGCAAACTGCCAGTGGAGATCCTTGAATTTCACGATCGCTCGGCTTCGATTTAAGGTGACCGAGAGAATCTCACCGAGACATCTTCGTCACGAGTTCTTCTTCCTCTCATCCCGGTCCTCTCCCTTCTCGACAAAAAGACGCGTTAACGAGAGACCGATCTCTCGTCGAAGGAGTAAAAAGATTTTACGTGGCTTTAAAGTTTATGACCAGTCATTGGCAAAAAGCGAGCAACGACCTTTTTCTGAAACGCGATATTTGCGATAGTTCGATAGTTTGGGATCTTAATATTCGTAATCTCAACCGTCACTTCAAGCACGATTTTTTTTCTTATCAAATATAAAATGCGATCGAAAAGATGTCAAACGAGATAAATGAATACACTTTGAGAAAATTGCTTATTTTGTTTTTTACAACCGAGGTTTTCAATTGTAACAATAAAACATATTAGTTTTATTGCTCTAAAAAAAAAAACAAATTAATCAAGCAAACAATATATACTATTATATATATTATATAATACATTAATATTGAGCTCTCTAAAGATCTTTTCGTACACACACGTGCAATAACTGCGAAGTAACATTTGGCAAAAAATCAGATTCGAGAGTGTTATAAATCTTGGAACGCAGCACATAAATTTCAACCACGTTGTGTGTATTCTTTATAGGATTTTTCTTTTTGTTTTTTCCATTTCCATTAGATCTCTCTACGTCTGACACGAAGTTCAGAAATAAAACTAGGCGCTCTTGTAAGTAAAGTGCACGCCGTATTTACGACGCCATAGCGTCGTCCATTATCCGGGGCTCCTACTGCGTTCCATTAGTCCTCTGTAACTAACTTCTTCAGCTTCCAAGGATTTCACGCTGAACCGTGCTTATAGGATCAAAAGATTAGGTCCACGCATTACATCCTATATATATTTAATGCGCGAGGAAGGAACTTTAAACTTATCCACAAATCTCCCCTCTTCTCCGAAAAAGCAAATTTTGTTTTAGCACCCCATCGATTTTTAAGTGTTAAAGAGGGAGCAGATATACTGACTTTCAACTTTAAACGAAAGTGGAAAAGAAGAGATAAAACTGAGACGAACCACACAAAAAAAAAAAAGAAAAGTGAAAAAAATCATTTTTGCATGACTAAGAAGCCGCTTATAGACACATTCTGCGCTACGTTCCAAACGTATCTCTCTCTTCGTTCTTAAAATTTTTCCGTAGTAAAATATTAAAATATGTAACAAATATGCGTCCATTCTATTACATAAAAAAATAGAATTTTTTTTTAAATTTGAGATAACTATGTGCGTATTTTTTCTCGTTCTTTCTTTTTCTCTCTTTCTCTCTCGCATTGAAACAACGTGGACTGCAATAAAGCGCAGAAAACTTAGCGAAGAGTAACATTGCGCGAAAAATTTATGCAAAAGCAAACTACATATAGAATCTATAATAATATTTAAACACACACACACACAACTTGATTGTAAGCATTTGCAAATACGGCAGCGACGTGCGTTTGAAAAGGGAGATGTTGTCGTTTCAATCAAAACCGACAGACAAGGTCAGATATATCGGAGCGACTGATACTCGTGTGCGTACAACGATTCCCAATATTGCTAAAGTTCCGTCCATTGACGACCGTTTGCGTTTGATGTTGACCGACTATGTAGGATAGGTGTTAA